TCATAATCTGAAAGTAAAAAAAAAAAAAATATCCTAACAGGTAAACTTTCTCCTCCTTTCAAGAAATTCTTCAACCCTTTTCTCTTTCCTCCCAAACCCTATAAGTTGCCTGTTGCCTTTCCCTTCCCTTCCCTTCCTCCCCCTCCCCCCCTTTTCCTCCTATTCTACCGTCCCTTATTCTCTCCTGCCTTCTCTTTCTCCTCCCTTCGTTCTTGGACTTTACTTCTTTTCTTCCCTTCTATCTTTTTTTTCGTTAGTTCTTTGCACTTTTGCTTCCTTTATCTTCTTTCCTCCTTATATTTTTCCGTCTATTCTCTTTATTATTACTTTCCGCTCTTTCTTATTCTTGCTTCATATCCCTTTTCCTCCCTTCCTTTCATTCTTTCTCCTCTCTTTCTCGTTCTCCCGTCCTTTTCCTTCCCATTCTTCTTTTCTTCCTTTTTTACACTATTCCCACTCCCATTCTCTCTTCATCCTCCTTTCTTTTTTTGGCCTTTCGTTGGCCTTTCCTCCTCTCCCCTATCCTTATTCTCCCTTCCTCCGCTTCCTTCTCCTTGCTCATCCTCTCTTCTCCAACCTTCCCCTTCACCCCTCCCTTGACCCCTCATTCTTCCCCTCCCCCCCCCCCCAACCCACTTTCCTTCCCCTCCATTCTTCTCCTTCCCCGCTAACCCACCGATTTCTACTCCAACCCACCGAGTTCAACCTTCAGCCCACCACTTCCTTCATTCTTTCCCCCCCCCCCCCCAAGCCCCTGACTTCACCCCCAACCTATCCCCACGTCCCAAAGCCAGGTCCCTCCCTTCTAACCCCCTCTCACACCCCATACCCCTTACCCCCTTTCACCCCCATACCCCTAACCCAACCCACCCCCTCTCACCCAACACCCCCAACTCTTCCCCTTTCCAAGCCCTTACTTCATCCCCAACCTACCCCCATCCCTCCCAACCCCCTCTCACCATCCCCTTACCCCCAACCCAAACCCCCAACTTCTCCCCTCCTCCTCCTTCCCCATTCCCACCCCTTCCCCCGACCTCACCTGCGTCTGCGTCTGCACCACCGGCGGCACCACTGACGTAATAACCTCCCTCCTGACGATGGTCGTCGGGTAGATGCTGGTCTGCGTGATCTCCCTGAAGACGGTGGTCGGGATGGCTCTCGTGCGGGTGCTTATAAGCGTCGTGGGGACCAGGCGGGTGGAGGTGACTACCGAGATCTGGAGGTTCGGTTGGCACTGTCCTCCCCCTCCTGCTGCGACGATGGCACTGTCGTCGGGAGTGCCGTAGAGGCCGTTGAGAGGGCCGCTGAGCCCGGTGGGCTTGGGGGGAGATGAGAGAGAGGTTAGGGGGTGGGGGGTGAAGGAGATAGAGGGGATGAGGGAGGAGCGAGATGAGGGAGAGACATGATGGGAAGTGAAGAGGATGTAATGTGAAAGAAATAAGGGAGATACGAGGGGAAAGTATGAGGGGGAATGAGGGAGATAAGAGAGATGGGGGAGATGGAAAGGGAAAATAAAGTAGATATGAGGGAAATTGAGAAGGGGAGAAGGAGAAGAGCAGGATATGCACGGAATGAAAAGGTAAGGAGTGAAAGAGAGGCGAGGGAGAAACGGGAAATGAAAGAAGGGAAAGATTAAGTGAAGAATGAAATAGTCATGAGATTTAGATGAATGAGGCATGAGAGAGAAGTTAGACACAAAGAAGACAAGAGAGATAATGCAAATAAGCGAAGGGGAAGAATGAGAAGAGAGGGTGGAGAGAAAAAGGGAATGGAATATAAAGTAACGGATAGTGATGAAAGAAAAGATGAGGGAGATTTAATAATGTAAAACAAGGAAAAAGAAGTAAAGTTAATTTTAAAATCAGGAAATTGCAAAAATAACAACAATAATAAACAGAGGAATGATAAGAATAACACCAGTAATAATAGAAGTGATATTCTTTTCTTTTCAAACCTAAGTTTTCTACAGCAATGAAGGCATTTATATGTGCAGCATCTTATCTTAAAATTGAGTAAATACTACCATTTTTGTCCACGGCAAAAGTAATAAAATAAAACATCAGAATTAATGAGTAAATATCATATTATAAAACGGTAATACACAAATAAGTAAACCACAAAAAAACTAAAACATTACAAACATATCACACCTGTAGCAAACCGCCTCCTCCGCTGGTCTGCCCGAACGTCGACGGGTTCGAGAAGGACAAATCTTGCCCATTGCTTCCGAAGCCCGACTGTCCCACATTATTGTGCCCGACGATATTCCCCTGGCCCAAAGTCCCCTGGCCCAAATTCCCCTGGATGAGGTTGCCGTGGCCCAAATTCCCCTGGATGAAGTTCCCCTGGCCCAAGTTCCCCTGGCCTAAAAGTCCCTGGTTGCCTTGGTTGTTGTAAGTCTGGGGCGTTGCCAGGGCGAGGGAGACGAGGGACAACACTAAGGCTGTTGTCGCCATGGGTAAGGAGTGATGGTGGTGGTGGCGCGGAGGGGGAGCCATATCTGGGTTGGGGGAGAAAGGGTTTCGTTAGTGTGGCGAAAAGGGGATAGGAGGTGGAGGAGGAAGTGGAAGTGGAGGTGGTGGTGGTGGTGGTGGTGGAGGAGGAGGAGGAGGAGGAAGTAGAAGTCGAGGTGGTGGTGGTTAAGGTGAAGATGGAGAAAGAGGAGGAAAAGGGGAAGAGGAGGAAAAACAGGAGGAGGAGGAGGAGGAGAAAGAGCTGGAGGTGGAGAAGGAGGAGGAGGTGATGGAAGAGGAGGAAGTGGAGGAGGAAGAGAAGAGGAAAAGAGGAGGAGGAGGAGGAGGAGAAGGAGAAAGAGCTGAAGGTGGAGAAGGAGGAGGTGATGGAAGAGGAGGAAGAGGAGGAAGAGGAAGAAGAAGAGGAGGAGGTGGTGGTGGTGGATGTTGAGCAGGAAGAGGAAGAGGAGGAGTAAGTACAAGAAGAAAAAATGCAGGAAAAGGAGAAAAAGAGAGGAAGAGAAGGAAGATAATGTGTGAGAAGGAGAAAGAGATGTCGTAAAAACAAAGAAGACAAAACTAAAGATGAAAAGATAAGAAGAAAGAAAGGAGATATTCCAGTACAGGAGCAGAAGACGAAGAAAAAAATCAAAACAAAGAACAAACGCACTACAGGAGAAAAGAAAGAAAAAAAATAACAAGAAAGGAATTACATCAACACGGCAACAAAGAAAGGGAAAGAATTGAGAGAGAGAGAGAGAGAGAGAGAGAGAGAGAGAGAGAGAGAGAGAGAGAGAGAGAGAGAGAGAGAGAGAGAGAGAGAGAGAGAGAGAGAGAGAGAGAGAAGGGAAACACGATCACGAAGTCGCCACCTGCTGTCTCTAAGCAGGTGTCCTCAGGCGGTTCCCTCTGCTGCGACCAGACGTCTGCTCTGCTCGTTCCTGCTTTCGTATTGTTTTGTTTACCTCAGCTGAGCTCCTGACTTAGTCTTTTATGGGGAAGTTAGAACTTTTTGGGTACCGTCTCTAATTTAGATATCCATTTACAGAATCATTTGAATTGTTTTGGTATTCATATATATGCATATATACAAACATAAATACACATATATAATACATACATACACACACACACACATATATATGTACGTGTGTGTGTGTGTATCACGCCTATCTTAAAAATTATGTCTTGCTGTATCATATGCGCCATCACATACCACAATATATGCAATGAAGAAAGAAAACGGAAAGAGAAAGGAAGAGACCATAAAATGCAACCACTATCAGCTAAAAATAGAATCAAAACCAATTTACGACAAAAAAAAAGTTATATATTCATCTACAAGCGCTGAAGACTTCAATAATAACTTTTATCCACAGGGTCCCTCAGCTCCTACTGTTTAAAAGGCGATAAGAATTCAATTGTTTTTATTCATGGCTATTTTTGGATATGGAGTGAGTTTATTACTATTTTCATATATATAGCTATGCAGGGATTACTTTAGATGTTTTGTGTTTGGTTCAGCGGTGTGGAAATGATGTTACATTTGTCAATTGCGTGTGTGTGTGTTGTGTGTGTGTGTGTGTGTGTGTGTGTGTGTGTGTGTGTGTGTGTGTGTGTGTGTGTGTGTGTGTGTGTGTGTGTGTGTGTGTGTTCTGATTATGATTAAGTAGAACATTGTATCATAAAATTGGTAGCGTAACTAGTAAAGATGGTGTCGGTGACTGCTATTGATTAATAATGCTAATGACGATGAGGAAAATAGTGATAATGTAATAAATTGTAGTAAGAGCATCATAGCAGTAACAACAACAGCATTAATGATAGTAATGATAATGAAGATGACAATATTAAGAACATAATTGATAATTATAATGATCAAACTAACAGTGATGATTATTATGAAAATATTAACAATACTAATAGTTATCATAAAATAATTACATTGGTCATGATAATAAAATGACACTATAATCATGGCAATAACGATTAGTGACAGTAATACATATACAAATGATAATAACAAAGACAATGTTAATAATAATAATAACATAATTATCAAACAGATAATAGCAATAACAACAATACTAACTACAACAATAAAAAAACAATACTGATACTACTAATCCTAAAAATAACATCAAAGTGTCAACAGCTTCCCGTTTTCTGTTACACTTCCACGAAGCCTTTCACTTTTTAGCGCCACAACAGTTCGAAGAACACGAAGAACACGTGAACAAATAATTTCTTAATGAATGGCAATAAGTCTACAACGCGGAAGCAAACTTTATGATCGAGAGAAGATACTGTAAATAGAGTGCTCATGAATGACTTTCACGTTACACTAGACCAGTGCGATTGCTTGTAGGTAATGGTGTCAGTTCTGAAGATTATTTTTGTTTACATGCTGTTCTGTGCGTCAGCTGTTCGGTAGGATTTGGATTAAATTCCTTTGCTTTTTGATCGTTCTTTGTTGTTGTTCTTGTTGTCTTGATGTCGGCTTTATGATTATTGTTAGTGTTGTTATATTGTTTTAGTAGTTGGCGTTGTCATTGATATTATTATTATCATTATTATTATTAGTAGTAGTAGTAGCAGTAGTAGTAGTATCGTCGCTATTGATGTTATTATTATCATATTATTATTAATAGTATTGTTATTAGTATCATTACCATTACTCTTACTACTACTCTATTTTTATTATTATCATTATTATCACTGTCAATATTACTATTACTATTACCATCATCGACATCGCTATTTCGTTCTTAATACTTTATCGTCAGCGCAACTTATCACTGCTACTCTTACCCTTCATAATAACGCTACAAATTCCTCTCACTCGCAACCTCCTCTGCCAATACACAACTTGTCCCCAGTATCCCTTCCGGAAGCTCTTACAAGCCAACATTACCTATTATCCACTACCAGTCTTCGCTAGTAACCAATCCGTTACTAGCCCCCAACATCCACCATCCATTTCCCTAATAGCCCTCGTCCGCTATTACACCCCAACTAGCTCGATCTTCCCCGTTACTAACCCTAGTCACTCCACTACTATCCCCCACCATCACACAGTCCCCTCCCTAATAGCCTTACTAGCTCGACCATCCCCTAACCAAGCCCTTGTAGAACCCCCATCCCCTATCACATCCCTACTAGCCTCACTATTCCTCAACCGAGTCCATACCTGCCTCACAGATTCCCCCAACGAATCCTAACTCATCCCCACAAGTGCCTTAACAACCCCACCCAACCAGCAACCAATCCCCAAACTACCCCTTAACCCACCACCCAACCACCCAACCACCCAACTACCGAACCACCCAACTATCCTCATCAACCACCGAGACGACTTTTCCTCCTCCTCCAAGCGCAAAAGTACCGTGGCAACTTGAGTCCTCTCACACGACCTTTCCTCCTCCTCCTCCAAGCGCAAAAGTACCATGGCAACCAGGTCCTCTCTCAGCGCCCAGGCTTCCCAGAAGAAGAGGCAGTACCTCCCCCTTCTGCGAGAGCCTCGAGCAAGTGGGAAACCCTCCCGTCCGTCCTTCGCCCGCCACAGGAAACGCCGGCCTCTGCTCTCGAAAGGTGTGGATTCTTGCTTCCTTGGAGAAAGGGGATTGGATGTCCTTTCCCTCTCGGCGTTGAATGTGAGGTGTGTCTTCTGTGTTTACATACATATATATATATATGTATATATATATATATATATATATATATATATATATATATAAATCTACATAATTATATACATATGTATATACACGCACACACTCTGAATATATGTATACATATGAATATATATATATGAATATATATATAAAAATATATATATGTATATATATAAATATATATATATATATATATGTATATATATATGAATATATATATATATATATATATATATATGTATATATATATATAAATATATATATGTATATATATATATAAATATATATATGTATATATATATATAAATATATATATATGTATATATATATAAATATATATATATATAAATATATATATATGTATATATATATATATATATATATATATATATATATATATATATATATATATATATTATGCACACGCACACATACATACATACATACATACATACATGTATACATACATACATACATATATATATATATATATATATATATATATATATATATATATATATATATATATATATATATATATATATATATATATATAACACTATATGTATATATACTGTCATATATATATTTATATATATAATTATATTAACTATATATATACATGTATATACGCACACACATCGATACACACTACCTTTCTTCACCACCGATTGTCACAAGCTAAACTGTAGTTATTTCACTGTACAATATGACAGGCAGAGTTCCTGCGGAGAGCCGAAGAGCAACGCCGCGTTTCAAGAAACAGCCGCAATACTCTTCAATAAAGACATCTTGGTCGATTATCTTAAACCCTAAGCTCGCCATCCACATATACATACAATATATATATATATATATATATATATATATATATATATATATATATATCACACACACACACACACACACACACACACACACACACACACACACACACACACACACACACACACACACACACATACATATATGTATATATGCATAAATATATACTTATATATACACACGCAGAGATATGTATGAATGAATTAATGAAAAATATACATGTATATATACATATATATATATATATATATATATATATATATATATATATATATGTATGTATATATATTATACGTATATTATATGTATATTATATATATGCCTATACACACACACACACACACATATATGTATATATGCATAAATATATACTTATATATGCACACGCAGAGATATGTATGAATGAATTAATGAAAAAATATACATGTATATATACATATATATATATATATTTATATATATATATATATATATTTATATATATTATATGTATATTATATATATGCCTATACACACACACACACACACACACACACACACACACACAC